GCTCCCTGGGCATCCCTCCCTTGTTGGAGCCACTGCTGCCTTAGCACTGGTGCTGCACTCGCACCTGCTAAGAAATGTCAGCCAGAATCATCCCACCTCGGTCCCTGGGTATGCACATTGGAAACACGTGTGTTCTTTCTTCTTTCCTTTCAGCATCAGATAGTGAATGTTGTAATATCAACCTGGATACAGAGACCAGTCCCTGCAGTAGTGACTTTGAGGAAACCATGGGCAAGAGGCTGCTGAGAACCTTGAGTGAGTATCTCCTCACCCAGACGAAAGCCACCTACCAGCTGTGTAGTAGAAAAAGCATGTTAAGCTCTTCCTCATGGAGGAGGAACCAGTGACTCCTTTTGGGAACCCTAGTGAGGTACAGTCGGGGGAATCCATCATAGGCCCTGGGCTGTTATTGCATCCTTGATAATTGGGGATCAGAGGATGAGAAAGGCATGATCCCGAGGCATTACGTGGGCCTTACTCAGTTCCCTCCAGGAAATCTCCATTCCATTGGCACTAGCCTGGGTTTGTGGCTTTGTAGAGCTGTCATCTCAGGGGAAAGGTGCGTCCTAGTCCTTCAAGATGTAAATATGCTGCCTGGCTGGTGTGGCTCAATGGTTGACCTATAAACCAGGACAGGAGGTCACGGTTCGACTCTTGGTCAGGGCATATGCCTGGGTTGTGGGCCCGATCCCTATTGTGGGGCTTGCAGGAGGCAGCCAATCAATGATTCCCTCATCACTGATATTTCTATCTCTCTCTTCCTTCATCTCTAAAATCAATAAAAATATCTTTTTTGAAAAATGTAAATATGCTGATAGCAGCAGCAGGTTACAATGCAGATTGCTTCCTGCCAAACTGTCTCCATTTCTGCTTCTATTTGGAAGAGAGCTTGGACCACCAAGAGAGTATGAATGTCCTCTGAGTCCTACAGATGGATCCTTACAAACTGTGTTTTTCAGGTGGTCGAAAAAGGAAGAGGTCACCCGATGGAGAGAGAGCCTCTGAGGAGAACTCCAATTTAACACCTCTCATCACATGATGGGCAGACAACTTTTGCTGGGTGTGTGACATTCCAGAGCTTTGGGGGAGAACCCACCCTCCTGTCATCTGCTTCTCCCCAAGGCCTCCCACAGGTGACAGAGCATTCTGCTTCCCTCACCACCTCTTCACCCCTGTCAGTTTAGCAGACTTTCCCTCATCGCCTCCAGTTGGACTCAGAGCCTGCAGTGGCCAAGATGGAAGGAGGTGCCTCGAGTGGAACATGCTAGAAATGGCCTCGTCCACAGCACAGCCTGGGACTGGAGAAGACATGACTCCAGGCTGACAATACCACTCTGGGACCCCTAATGCCCTTTTTGTTCTTTGAGATCCCCTGATGCCATATTTCATGCGGAGCTTAGCTCAGAAGGTGCCGACAGGCACAGCGGAGGCTGGAGCAGCAAGCGTGATGGTGTGTTCAGAAGATGCACCAAAAATTCCTCCAGAACTTCAGGGCAGCTGGACTCAGCCATGTGGGCATGACATTACAATACAGAAAACTGTTGGTGACCAGTTTCCTGTTAGATAAGGGCTCCAGCAGCCTGGGAACTGTGTCTCAGCTGGAGTGGAAAGAATGCCAGATGGAACCTCAAGTCACTGATTTTCCCAGGGACACATCTGCTTTGGCTCCCAATCGGCAGTTACCAACCCATCAATAAATCTGCTCTGGAAGAGAAGGAACCGGAACAGAGAGACCCAATTGGGAGCCAGAGATGGAGCTTCAGGTTTTAAGTTCAAATCAAAGCAAATATATATTTTCCCATATATATGTGTGTGTATATATGGAAAAATTCTAAGCTGTTGAAGCAAGTTTAGCCATGACAAACCAAAGAGTGCCCACGTCAGCCAAGAAGGATGCAAGCTCTCATGGGACTTCAGTGTGCATTACACAGGAACATTGAAGAGTCACTCCTCTTTTTCATCCACTCCCCCCACCCCTACCCCTTACTGCACCCCCAGCAAGTTAGCCATGTGTACTTTATTCCAAGAACATACTAAATTTCTGCCATTTCACTTGGATGTGGGGGCAGATGCAATTCCAAGCATAACCATCAGATGGCAGGATGACTGCACGTATCTACTTGAATAAGCAAGTTCTGATCGGGACACAGAGCCAGCCTTAGGGAAAATGTGGAAGTGAAGGTCTTTGGGACCCCAAGTCCCTTTCTGATCTATCGCCCTGATCCAGTGCTGCCTGCTGAATCTCCAAACCATTCCCTAACTTTTCCCTGGGGTGGGGCACCAGGCGTACCTCCCCTTCCTCCACAACCAGTACTCCTATTGCCCCACACCCATTCAGTCAGTAATCACATGATGGTTCCTCTGGGTTATTTGCAGCTTATCCATAGGAACCTTTAACTCAGGGGTTCTTAACCTGGGGGTCCATCACCCCCGGGGGTCCACTGTTGGACTTCATAGGGTCTATGAAACCCCTAACACTAGGAATTTAGTATCTGTGTTCTTATGCCTGTTTTCCAGAGGGCTAAAGCTTTCATAGATCCTCAAAGGTCCCGGATCCACAAAGGGTTAAAACCTATTTTAACGGAAATTGGAGCTTTCAGCCCAAAGTTTCTGCAAAGCAGAGTGAAGTGAGCACTGGCAGTTTGAGACAGATTTTTAATTGTAAGTGGTCTTCGCAAGTGTCCTTGAAATTGATGGGGGGAGCTGGCACCCACCGAGAAGTGGAAATCCTCAGAAATACTTGGCACAACCTAGGCTGTTGTACAGCCTACACCCCACATAACTTCACCCCCTCTCCCCCTCCGAACCGGAGCAGGTGTTGCAGACAGGAGGGCCACAGCGTGTGGAAGTAAAGACTTTCCAGCTGGAGATGCCTTTTCCAGCAGCGTATTAGCAATGTATTACTGACTTCACATCCTTTGCCTGGCTCTGCCTGAGGCTCAGTAGTGCATGACTTCTAGATAGTTCCAAGGCTACCACCTGCCCCCAACACCTACTCTTGCCTGGTAGGAATAGCAAAGTGTCACCCCCTCACCCCGCCCTGTGCTGGGTGCCTCAGACCCAAACCAGGGGACTGAGTTTCAAGGAAGAACTGTTATGCAGTCTTCTTGCATTACCACTTAGGCCACAGGGCTCAGGCCACTGCTGTTGTGTTACCTCCATCCCTTTGCAGAATCCCTAAGGAGCCTGTAACCACTCTCATTCCTATTCCCCAACCCCACTCTCCCCAATTTTCTTCAGGTTACAAAAAGTTAAAAAAAAAAAAAAAGACTTTAATTTTAAAATAAAGCATTTATGAAGACTTAATGAATTGTAAATAATTTTTCAATAAAATGAAAATGCTTTCCTGGAATGTGACTGGTTTCCTTGCCCTGAATCTGGGAGTTCTGAAGTGTTTTCATTTGAGATGCAGGTTGGGTGGAGCTCACCTGTGATTATCTCACGGGACCCACCTGCCTGAAGAGGCTTGGCTCTGAAGGCCAGGTGTGAGGCTGCAGTCAAGGTTACAGGAAGGCTCCAGTGCTGTACTTTGGGAAGACAGATAGGTAAGATTTTGCAGAAACAAATGCCAGAAATGGAAATAAAACTCAAATGAGAAGCTAGAGTGTGACTGAGAACAAGAAAGAAGCACTAAGACAATAATTATTTGTGGAACCCATGTGATGCATGAGGCACTGGTGGGTGCCTTCCAAGCTCAAGATCTTTCTTGGGAGGAACACAAAGAGTTGGGGTGGGGGGAAGGGAGGAGCTTCACATGGAAAAGCAAGAACTAGGAATAACAACTGCTACTTCAGATATTTGTAAAGTCATCAATTAGAAGTGCCAGTGGACTTGGTATCTGTGGTTTAAAGGAAGCGAGTAAGGGAACCAGGGGAGTAGGACAAAGACCAAAATCTGAATCAAGGTAAATGATCTCTTTAAGGTACTCCATCAATAGAATGGGATGCTTCACCAAGTAGTGAAAGAACCTGCCGCTCTCCGCCCCGCCCCCTCCTAAAAATGAACAGGTCAGGGACAATATGGCAGAGACTATAGCCCTGAGAGAGGCTGGAGTTAATGAATTCTAAGACACCAATCAGCCCTCAAGACTAGGATTTTATATCAACCCAAAAGCACGTTAGAAAGGGGCAGATCCTGTTAAAATAACTAGAATTATCTTTCAATATTTTCAAACTCAAGACTCAAATTCTACAGAACTGTATGGGGAGAGTTCCTTGGACTCTGGAAAATGTGATCTATGTTCAAGTGGCTCTAATTGACTAGGAGGTGCTCCACTGCATTGGGCGGGACTGTGATCTAGAATCACCCTGAGTGATGTCAACCCTTCTAGGAATCCATGAAGTCCAAGGTCTTAAGTGATATAAGACAGCTGGCATCTGAAGGACAAGTCCAGAAAACTGGCAAAGAGCTGGGGTGCAAAGCGTTCACCAATGGTAAGCCTGTTACAAGAACACATTAGGTTTTCTTTAGCAACTAGTACATCCCTCTATGGCATTCTTTTTTTTAATATATATTTTTATTGATTTCAGAAAGAAAGAGGGAGAGAAACATTGATGAGAGAGAATCATTGACTACCTCCTGCATGCCCTCTACTGGGGATCAAGCCCACAACTGCGCATGTGTCCGTGACCAGAATCGAACCCTGAACCATTCAGTCCGCAAGAAAACCCAATATCCACTGAGCCAAACTGGCTAGGGCTCTATAGCATTCTTTTTATATATATATTTTATTGATTTTTTACAGAGAGGAAGGGAGAGGCACAGAAAGTTAGAAACATCGATGAGAGAGAAGCATTGATCAGCTGCCTCCTGCACACCCCCCACTGGGGATATGCCTGCAACCAAGGTACATGCCCTTGACCGGAATCGAACCTGGGACCCTTCAGTCCTCAGGCCGACACACTATCCAGAGAGCCAAACCGGCCAGGGCTATAGCATTCATTTTAAGCCATGGGTTACAACCTACTGGTGGATACAAAATCAATTACATAGAGTCTCAATCAGCACTTAGCACTTTTATTTCTTTAGTGAAATGGAACATAAAAGAATAGAATGGACTAGAAAATATCAGAATGCACTGCATGTAGCAAGAGTATATACTGTTTTGTGAAACTTTTAGTTAACTGTGTGCATGTAATGTAAATATATTTTGTACCTTAGCTGCCCTAAAGAACTAAAGCTTAGGGCTAGGGACACAACCATGCAGAAAGAGCAGGGACACAGACACTCTGGGTAGAGGTGATGAGTTTACTGACAGCCAACACCCACAATTACACATGGCTCTTCAGACAACTTGATCTTTGGGACTAGACTTTGTACAGAGTCAAGCAACACATAGAAGCACACAAGTGACACAGGCAAGACTCTGGCTTCTAGCAAGGGAGCAAGATATCTACAGCTCATGATCAAAGTACCGCTTTATTCTTCTTAAACAGAAAGCTTAATTTGCTCTGGCCTTCAGAAAGGCTCTAACCCAGGCCGCATCTCTTTTCAAGAGATGTTTTCTTCAAGTGGGGCCAACCTCACCAGAGCAGCCTTTTGGTCTTGCAATAGTCTGATCCATGATGTATACAACTAGACTTGTGCAGGCAGGGAACACACTCGACGGAGGGCCGCTTTGGTGGTGCTGGTTTCAGTGGTACCTCTTTACTTGATTTTGGTGACTGCTTCATGGATGGAGGTGGCCACATAATCTAGGTTTTTGGTGGTTAAGCCACACATGTTGATCCGACCACTTGGCAGCAGATAGATGTGCTTTTCACTGACCAGATATTCAACTTGCTTGGCTGTTGAAAACAAAAAGAGAGATAATCAGAGTAGTAGGAATCCTTTAAGCCTCAGAAACTCCATGACAATTTTAGTTTTCCTTCTTTGCCTCGTAATACAGAGAAGAAAAACCAAAAAAGCTATTTTGTCCAATTGTACACAGGGAAAAATCCTCCATCGATTCTGAAAACTAGTCGTATTAGCTGACTTTCTAATCCCCAAAAAGTTTAATAGCGCTCCTCCTCATGGGAATTTTAATCTGGGACTACCTCCCAACCAAACCTTGCACATCCCATTCACAGGACACGCTATCAACTGAAACAACCCTCAGACTTCAGAACATTCCATTGATACAAAAAACTGGTTATGAAGTGCTTCTTTCGTCTCTTCCTTAACCTGAATTTGCTTATCCCTGAGCACCTAGAAGCAACCTCCCTTGAACATTTCATTAACACAGTATATTGTACAAGGCCCCGTGCATGAGAGGAGCTGGATAAATGTTGTGTGCATTAACCAACGGGCTAGAAACCTGCAGACACCTCTCTGATCTGACATGTCTTAGCTCTCTCATTCAAACATAAACAGGAGCACTTTCCCATGTGTTTGCAGAATTTCTCATGGATAGAGCAAGTAGGGACTGCCTGTACTTCCTTTATGCCACAATCTCTAGAGCTTTTTTGCTTTGTTGCAAGGCCATGAGAGAATTTCAAACGATTGTTGTCTAGTTTGTACCCTTAAGACACCATCATTTGAGGGAATGGGATGATAATTGTTATGGACTGAATGCTTGTGTCGCTCCAAAATGCAGGTGGAAACCCTAACCCCAATGTGATGTATTGGGAGGTGGAGCCTTTGGCAGGTGATTAGGTTCAATGAGGCCATGAGGGTGGAGCCCCATAATGGGAGTAGTGCCCTCAAGAGAGACTAAAGAGAGCGTGCTCTCTCACCATTCTGTGAGCATGAAGCAAGAACACAGCCACCAGCAGGCCAAGCAGAGAACCCCCACCAGGCCCTGACCATGCTGGCACCCTGACCTCAGACCTCCCAGCCTCCAGAGCTATGAGAAACACATTTCTGTTGTTTAAGCCACCCAGTCTGTATTTTGTTATAGCAGCCCAAACTAAGATGGTAACAAAATCATAATAATCAGGAGCAAACCCTGTGCCAGTCAGTGTTCTAAGCACTTTATATTAACTCAGTTCATCTTTTTAAAAATTGATTTAGGAAGAGGGAGGGAGGGGGAGAGAGAGAGAGAGAGAGAGATGGCATTCTGGTGGCCCTGGTTTATAGTAACTTCCAGGACCTTTGATGTCCCAATTACTACCAAGCCAGGCACACAAGCTCCACATGCAGGTGAGTGGCCATGTCTGCAACATATGGCCTGGCCAGTGGGTGCCCGGGAATAACTTATTAAATGAACGATCCCTCTATCACTGGAAGGGACAGCCAATTGCAAATAGGCCCTACTGACGGCTGACCAAGATCATTCAAGGCTACCCACTGGACACTCAATCATCTTTTAATTCCAACTATCAATCTAAGTTTTTGTTTATGACATGGAAAGATAACTTTGTAACCTCTTTTTTGAGGGCAATGCTTAAGAGACTAGGAAAGACTGGTTAAGAAATTATGTCCCTGCTATGGGGCGCGGCTACAGTGTTTTGGCCAGGTTCAAGCCTCGGACTAATGAAAAGACAGGGTCCTCTCAGTGCCACGTGCAAGTCCCAGCTGGAGGTCAGGGCCCTCTCAGCACAATCATAGCCAACGGCTGTGGTTATAAGCTTGAACCTATGGTCCAAACACATAACCCCACGTGCCTTGTGGTAGAGTTCAGGTGCATATAGTTGAGTGGGGTTGGAACTCAGGAGAATGCTGTAAACAACGTGATCACGCCCCTACTTTGCCTCGTGGCATCTGCTATAAAATAAAGACACGGCTTGTGGGCGCTGGCGCTGTCTCCTCATCAGGGAGCAGCGTCCCACCGAGACCCAGCTTTCATTCTCTTATCTGTCTTTCCTTAATCCTTTCACCCCCCCACTCAGTTTACCTCTGGCCGCAACACCCTGCCCATCCAGATGGCTCAGTTGGTTGGGGGGTTAGCCTGCACCAAAAAGACTGCAGGTTCAATCCCCAGTCAAGGCACATACAGGAGGCAACTGACTGATGTTTCTCACATCAATGTTTCTTTCTACCTCTCTCACTCCCTTCCTCTCTAAAAAAAAAGTCAATAAAGTAAAAAAAAAATTAGGTCCCTGAATAATCATATGTAATATTCATATTTAGGACTAAGGAAGACCCAAAGGGTACCTAAGCATTTATAACAGACCTTTCATAAATCAAGGCTCCAAGCCATAAACCCTGTTACATCCCAGCTGGCTCTGAGCCACTTCCCAGGCAACAAAAATGAAAATATCTTCGTTATGGGATGCAGGACAGACCACAATCATGCTCTTCTGAGACCCAGGGAGTTTAAGAGATGGATGGGACACACTGAGAAAACCTAACTTGTTCTGGTCTAAAGTTCTCGATGACCAATTAGGCAACAGCTAATGGAGCCAAGTCCAAGGACACTGACTGAGAGGAGTGCTGGTTCCAATAGTGAGCATTTGGGTGTGGGGAGCACTTACTGTTCAACCCTGTGAAGCTGAACATTCCAATTTGCTCAGTGATGTGGTTCCAGGTTCCAGGGGTCTTGAGGGCCTCTAATCGTGCCCTGAGTTCAGATCTCATGGTCAGAATCCGGTCAGCCATTGTCTTCACATTACCTTTCCTGAGTGGACAGTAACATAAATACCAATACAGATCGGAGACATAATACATGAAAACACAGATGTTTAAAAACCACAATTCAATCTATAAGCTGAAAATGGGACTACCACTTGCCTGTTATGGTATGTGGGTGCCTGGATGGGGGATATACAGGCCAAAGAGATATGGTTACCAGCAGAAGGAATGGAATATATTCACTGATGGAGCTCAGTTCTAGCCTTGGGTATACTAGCTGTAATACCACTTATGTTTTAACTCAGACTTCACCTAGGTGCTGATCTAGGCAGAATGATATATTTTATCAAGACTCATTAAATAGAGATTGCAGACTTAGCTACTATATAAAAATTACTGTTTCAAATAAGATAAAATATATGTAACGTTAAGAATGAAGAGCCCCCAAATTGTCACACTAACTTGAAGTTGGATATTCTATCCTATCAGGAATTCCTTCCTGTTTCCCCACTTTAAGGGGACAAAGCCTAGATGGTGGGAGAGTGGGGGAAACTTGCATTTATTCGAGTGTCCCTTCCTATGTTCCCAGTGCTTGTGAGGCACAAGTGTTGTGTTATGCACGTGAGTGTAGGTGGCAGCCCTATTTCATAGAAATATCTGAGATTCAAAGAGGCTGAAGTAATTATGTCTTGCCTCTGCTAAAATAAGAGGAAGAGACAGTTAAATGTAATGGGGCACTTACTGTTCTGCAACCCCTTGCCCATCAGGTTGTGAGTCCCTTACCATTCCTTAAAGAGCTCGGGGTTAGAGAGGGTAGTGGCCACGATCCGTGCTCCCTGAGCAGGGGGATTGGACCAAGTGATTCGCACAATCTTCTCCATCTGGGAAAGGACCCGCTGCATGCTATCAGGTTCTTTTGCAACCACGGTCAGATTCCCCACACGCTCATCTGGAGACAGAGATGAGAATTAGCCATGGTGGCCCTGATCGGGGCAGGGGTGGAGGGTGGGGCTGCAACTCAGGAGAGCACTCACTGTAGAGCCCGAAGTTTTTGGAGAAGGACTGGGCACAGAAGAGCTCGAATCCTTCAGACACAAAATAGCGAATGGCCCAGGCATCTTTCTCTAGGCTTCCAGATGCAAAGCCCTGATAGGCTGAGTCAAAGAAGGGAAACAGAAACCGGCGCTGCGAGGAAGGAAAGTGAGTCAGGCAGGACATCCTTCAGGAACCAACCTCAGACACTGGCTTTTCATCCCCAACTGTTTCTGGAAGGAATTTCTAAAACTGTCCATTTCTCCTCTCTCTCTCTTTTCTGCATCCAATCACCACTTTACATCTCTATTTCTCTGTTCAGCTAAACACCAACCCCTAAATCTAACAATTTCGGTAAACCTTGTTTTTTTAAGTGTATCTCCCCAGAGCATCATGATGCCACCTTGCCAACAGGGCTTAGGGATGGAGGCATGGAGGCAGTGTCTGCCCTACATTGGCAGATTCTTTCCCATGAATTCCTGGTGTGATAAGCTTAGTCAAATGTCAGCTTGGTATCCCCAAGGCCTCTTCGTAACCTCAGGGCTATTCTACTGGACAAATACACTGCATACTCTCTATTCTTATCACTCCGGTCTCCTCAAAGGGCTCCCCACACTGAACTTGCTCCTCCTCTGGGCTCACTCTCTATGTGGGCACCACCTCCCTGATCCAACCATCCAAGCCAGCGGCTAAGGTGCATCCTCCTGTCCTGCCTCTGCAACTCATCCCTCACATCCAATCACCCTCCAAGTTCTATCACTCCTGTCTCCTGGGAGCTCTAGAATCCTTTCACATCTGTCACTGCCATCCACTTCACTCAGGTCCCCATCAGCTCCTACCTGGATTATAATAATAGCCCCCTAACTACTCTCCCAGCCTATCTAATCTGGACTCCCTCTGATCCATTCCCTGCCATGTAGCCAAGGTGACTTGAAGACAATGCACATCTGATCATGTCACTCTATGACATCAAAGGTTTTCATGGCTCCTCATTGCCCTCAGAATGAAGTCAGTGCCGCAGCACAGGCTCTGGTCCCCATTTACCTCTCTAGCCTCATGACTCACATTCCCCCAAAGCCCTTGGAATCTAGGCCAGGAATCACTTTCACTTCCTTAATCGGGCCATGACCTCTACACCTGGGTTTTGGCCATGCTCTTCCCCTTACAGGGGACATCCCTGCCCCTCCAGCCCCCACCTGTCCTCATCCCTCAAGTTTCAACATGGAAACCACTTCCAGGAAGGATTCTTCCGCAATACCACCCCTCCCCGCGCACACATACATACTTCCTAAAGTCCGGTCTATGTGCCTCTCTATAACCCCACCAACAAAACTGTCTCACATGGCTGTTTCCCCAAACAGGCTGTGTATGCTCTTTGAGGGCAGCTTTGTTCACTAGTATATCCCCATGCTGCCAGTCATATAAGTTTCCCAGTGAGTATTTTTTAAACACCTTAATAAAGAACATATGTGCACTTTAAACTAGAAATCCCAATCTAGAAAGTTACTCCAAAGAAATAACACAATGGAGTTTTATTACATAATTGTTCATAAGAGGAAGAAACCTGAGATCTTAATGTCCATCAACCAATTTAGTCAATCCCTATGTGACATGTCTATGCATGGAAAACAATGCTACAAAACATTTAATGACATGTAAGGGAGTTCAAATCAAAGACAAAGTATGTTATAAAATGGTCTAGACAAAATAATCCTGCCTTTGTAAAACAGATATGTTTATATGTGTAACTACATTAAAAAAAAACACCATACATTCTGCACCAAAATATTGACTGGCTTCCTTTGGATAACAGGATTTACAGTTAATATTTATTTTCTTCTTCAGGCTTTTCTCCACTTACATATTCTCCAGTAAATAGGCATGGCTTCTGACACATTAGATGTTAATACAGACTACTTGTTAAGAGAGGCTCTGGAAAGGCAGTTAGTTACCTTCATGACGGAGGCGATCTGCCTCCACTGCTCTGGAGTTGGGTCTGTTCCAGTTGGGTTGTGTGCACAGGCATGGAGGACAAAGACGGAGAACTCAGGAGCTTTCTGAGGAAAGGGAAGCTACATCAGCTTGGACACGAGCAGGACTCTCTTGCTTATCAACTGATCCAAAAACTTTTCCCTGCTCCCTATGGTTCTGCTTGCTTTATCATCTCATCACCCACCTCCAGATCATTCAGGAAACCCTGGAGGTCAAGTCCTCTCTTCGCTGCATCCCAATAGTGATAGGACCGAATGTCTTTAAATCCAGCGGCAGTAAACACAGCATTATGATTCTCTGCAAGCAAAGGGGTAAAAATGTAAATGGTTTTATAATCACAGGAGGTGTAATTGTAAAGGACACAAGTCAACTTCCAGGGCCCTGGAATGTCCACTGGGTGACACCGAGGTGAGGAGTTAAGAATGGTTGTAACTAAAAACAAATTCAACCAGGCTTCTTCATGCTAAACTTATATCCTAATGGTCCCTATATATCTACATTCTATGCCTCCTCTGGGAAGTTTTAACACACATGAAAACATAAGTCTACTAAGAGTCTTGGGAAAAAGTATTCCTAATGTGAATTTAAGCATCATATTACGCGTGTCCTGCCAAAACCCACTGCTGAAGCCATTCCTAAATGTCAGTTGATCCAGGGCTGGATTACATTTTCTGGGTAAACAGTGAGAATCATGAGGATAACTGCCCCTAGTTTCTTTGTTCCTCCTCTGAATACACCTAAAGAACTCACCCCAGGTTGGTGAGGATACATAGATAGGCGTGTCCTTGTTGTTCGTTCCATTGTACCATCGCGCTAAGAACTCGGCTCCGATTCGAAGTGCACCTGTTCCCCCCAAAGACTGCACACCTCCTACCTGAAAGAGAAGAAGCAGGGTCACTGGTTGATAATGGGGGAGTCAGAAAATATCGGGGAAAATACAGTAATGATGAGCATTTACTTTGTGCCTGCTCTATGCTAAGCCCTTAAATGTACTGTCTCATCACACCTCACACCTACATGAAGAAGATACTGTTATTTGCCCATGTTTACAAATGTGGAAATGGAGGCTGAGAACTGAAGCACATTGCTCAAAGTTACCAACTATGAGCATTAGGGAAGTCTGAAGTCTGACTCTGAGGGGAACTTCCCTTCTGAATACAGAAGAGAACATACCTAGGCCACATCAGGGTGTGCCCTGGAGGGCACACCCCCAATCCCTTTGATACCCATCCCAAGATCAAAACTGCCCTCCATACCCATACGACTGTCAGCTGATTTCTCAACAGAAACCATGCAGGCCAGAAGAGAGTGGCAAGAAATATTCAAAGTGATGAATAGCAAGAACCTACAACCAAGATTACTTTATCCAGCAAAGCCATCATTCAGAATAGAAGGTCAGATAAAGAGCTTCACAGATAAGAAAAAGCTAAAGGAGTTCATCACCACCAAACCAGCATTATATGAAATGCTGAAAGGTATTCTTTAAGAAGAGGAAGAAGAAAAAGGAACTCTTACCATTTGCCACAGCATGGATGGAACTAGAGAGCGGATAAATAGCACATGATTTCACTCATTTGTGGAATATAATGAACAACATAAACTGATGAACAAGGACTGATCCAGAGACAAAGAGGCATTGATTGGACTGTCGGGCCTTGGAGGGAAGGTAGGGGAGGGTGGGGGTAAGGGGGAAAAGGGGGAAAGATCAACCAAAGGACTTATATGCAAGCATATAGGCCTAACCAATGGACACGGACAACGGGGGGGGGGGGGGGGGTGAGGGCATGAGCGGGGGGTGGTAGAGGGTAACGTGGGGATAAGGACACATATGTAATATCTTAATCAATAAAAATATATTTTAAAAAAAAAAAAAACCTGCCCTCCAGCAGAAGCCTGGAAAATAATGTTCCAGCTTGCCATTGACATCAATCTGTAATACTGCTTTCTCCTTCCATAATGCAGGCTTAGGAATCCTTAGACATATATTCTAATGAAACAAAGGTGACATGTGAATACTACTTTCTCTCCTTGAGCTTCATCTCATCTTAAAATGACCTCACAGGGGCAATAATAAAAGTCCTAAGTTTTACCATTTACCAAATACCTTCACATACATTCTTTTTTTATCCTTATACAATCCCATGAAATAAGTTCTAGATCCCAAATTTACATGAGGAAACTGATTCAGAGAAGTGGCTTGCCAAAGAAGACACAGGTGGTGAGTAGCAGAGCTGGACATCAACCCAGGTCTTCTCACGCTAGTCACTAACCCATTGTTGTTCTGCCTCTATATCTTTGATTTTGCCCTTTCATGATTTAAACGAGGTTTTAGCATAACTCTTTCAGTAGAGAAATGTTATAAATTACATGTTGCTTACTATGTCTATAGGATTAAGGAGAAAGAAAGGAAAAGAGTACATGGAAAAGCCTATCTAAATAAAAGGAACCTAAAAACAGTGGCAACCTCTGTGGAGGGGCCTCGGCTATGGAGAATAGTGGTCAAAGGGACTGTGGCCTAACCTGTAAGTTGTCTTTTAAAAATAAAAATGTCTTCATGTATTATTTGTAAAATTTTAAAATAATTTTTTTTTTTAAATATATGGTGGTGTCTAGGATCGGCTCTAAGATAATTCAGCTTTGGCAGGGCAGTGGGAGGTATACAAGATTGACCAAATACAGATCATTGTTGAAGCTAGGTGATGGATGCATGGAGGTTTGCTCATTACACTGTTTTATCTATTGTTGTAGATATTTGAAATTTTCTACGATAAAATGGTTTAAAAAGCCCAGGTGGTGTGGCTCCGTGGTTGAGCATCAACCTATGAACCAGGAGGTGACGGTTCGATTCCCAGTCAGGGCACATGCCCAGGTTGTGGGCTCAATCCCCAGTAGGGGGTGTGCAGGAGGTAGCCAATCAATGATTCTCTCTCATCACTGATATTTCTATCTCTCTTCCTCTCCCTTCCTCTCTGAAATCAATAAAAATATATTTTAAAAAAAGAAAATATGAAATGCACTAGACTAAGAGGGAGGGCTGTGTTCCACAAGTAACAGCCCCAAGTCTTACAGCATTAAGTGATCAATAATGGGGAGTGTTGGGCAAAGGAACAAGTGTCTGCCCAACAGTTAATAAATGTGTAAGAGTGTGCAGTCTTAGGAGAAGAAACTCCCCAACACAGAATCTCTGCTTTCATTTGTTAACAGAATTCCAACTATCAACAGCACCTCAGAAAGAATCCCAAGTTGCCAAAATTCCCCACTTTCAAACTTTATCAAGACACTCCTCTCCCTCTATGGAAACACTGGAATGTCAGAGCAATGTCCCAATGCCACCCATAATCTCTAAACTCTTCCATTTCTACCAGTATTATCCTTCAGTTCCTTGAAGTGAGTCACCCTAATTAAGTTAATTACTTGCCTAATCACCGACCTGGAGCCTCACTGCCTTCTGATACACATAATAATGTGCCCCTGTGTAACCTTCACTAGACCCTGCAGTCCTGTTTATCAGAGCATATGGGTAACAGCATGTGGGGATAAATCAGGTGTCTCCAAGATGTGGTCCCTTCCACTCATGAGGGCGCACTAGACAATGGCCCAGGGGAGCGATAAGGGCCGCGGGTTTAAATTGCATAATATCTAACTGAGCTATTGCAAAAACCTGAGCTCTTTCCCTTCCTACGCACACAACCAAGTTTATCTTCTTCCAGCACTTTTATTGGGTAACTCCTCTGCTCAAACCTTAAGGTGGCTTCCCTAGCCCGGGCTGCTAAAAACCAGCCTGCCTGATCAGATAGGTCTCTTTACATAGAGGCCTGCTTACCTCTTACCTCCGGCCCTGAACTCCCACTACTTCAGACAAATACCTTCCCTCTGTATCTTGTGGTTCTCAATCCTGCTGTACTTTGGAATCACCTAGAGGGCTATTAAAAATATGCCCGTTGCCTGGCTAGCATGGCTCAGTAGTTGAACACCAACCTATGAACCAGGAAGTCACGGTCCAATTACTGGTCAGTATATATGCTTGGGTTGCGGATCAATCCCCAGTGTGGGATGTGCAGGAGGCAGCTGATCAAAGATTCTCTCTCATCATTGATATTTCTATCTCTCCCTCTCCTCTCTGAAATCAATAAAAATATACTGGATTTAAAAAAAAATGTTTTAAATGCCCATGAAGGGAAGGTAGTAAAAGGGCAGGATAGGGTGGTACCCTCCAAGATTCTGATTTAACTGGTCTGGTGTTGGGTCCAGCCATCAGTATATTTTTAAAAACTCCCCAGTTTATACTAACGTAGCCAGTGTTGAAAACCAGCGTTGTAGTCTCACTTCCCAAGGTTCAGTGGAAGTCTCATCTTCGGCCATCACCAGCCTCCTTCTTCTCTGAATCCCTACAACACTGGGAATCTCCACCAAACTACTTCCTGCCACATAGAGCCTCTCTCATTGGCTGCTTCCAAATGTGCTCCTCTTCCAAGGGTCTCTAGTTATACACAGACTACATACCAGGAAGCACTGAAATGAGAGAAGCTGAGACCAAGGCTAGAAGAATAAAAGGATACAGTAAAAGTGACAGGAACTTCAGAGAACATCTAGACTAGTGGTTCTTGAACTTTTGGGGGCCACAGACTCATTTCGAAAATCTGATAAAAGCCTTACGAGACCAGGAGCCACAAACTAGTCTTTCGGTAACACGTAGATGAGTCATAGGGGCCAGAGGGGTAAGTGATTTGCCTATGGTCAAAAGAGTGGCAGAGCTGGATCCAGACCCTAGTCTTTTGATCAATCCATTATATTCCCTTAGCTTGGCATTTCCTCTGACTGCTTCAAACCCAGTAGCTAAAATCTGATAATCAACTGGGCAAAAGTGAACCATTGAAGAAGCTGTGCTTTATACAAAAGCACATTATTTGCACTATCAGGTTCCTGAGGTCACACTACTTAATCCCTGATTCATCGACAGTTCAATAGACATAACACCTAACATTTTAAAACAACTTGAATTTTCAACCTCTTTTTCACCTTCACAGTTCCTAAAGAGAAAATATATATCCTCATCCAAAAACTCACCCGCTTCTCCTGGATTGCTGGGCTGTCATCCCCAAGGGCAAGGCAGGAAGCATGGGTCCGGAACTCCGGTAGGCCCAGGATTGGCAGATACTCGTGGTTTAGGTTACTGTCATTAGCAATCTTCTGCTCCACCTTTCTCACTACAGGCAAAACCCAGGGCTGGGAGTCATCCGTGCGATAAGCTAGAACATGGGAAAGAGTTACATAAGGGATTTATATGAGGCTTTGTCCAAATAAGAGTTTGGAACTATGAACAGGGAAAATTCTATCACCATTTGATCAAAACAAACTAAAGTTCAGGAAGTGACTGCCCGCTTTGGGCCAAGCACTGGGCTAGGTGCTGGGCAAATAGAGACAGACATGGTTCTTATCCTTACAGAACTTACAGTTCTTAAATTTATGATCACTGAAAAATAGAATGTTAAAATAAAACTGGGACATCAGAGCCTGATGGAGTGAGAGAATGCATGTGAAAGCACTGAGTGAACTAAAATGATATATCCTACAAATGCTATGTCAGTATTATTAGTGCACTGAGGTCTCTATAGCCATTGACCCACCAATCTGCTTCCTTCTGTATCGCCCCAAGAGGCTTCCAGAAAAAGGCTAGGTGCTACTTCAGATGAAAGCTGCACCTTCAAACATAAACATGCAGAGAGAGGGGTGTGAAAGGAGACCCACCTCCTCCTCTTGTCCCATACGAACAGAAATGGGACAAATGACAAGCAAACGCCCTGTGACTGAAGATTCCAACAACTGGTTACACAATCACTCAACAGCCCACTGAAACACATCTGTGTCCTCTCTCTGTGTTCTGACATCATTCAGTGTTTACCATTTTAACTGTCCCTCCCACTTCATGTGCTTCACACTTTTATTGATCTAAATGCATCTATTTCATAACCTTTAATCTTGCTTACAATCAAATTTCTAAGCACTTCTACACTAAAAGTATTTTTTGTCCACTTTGAGTTATCCTATAACTGATTTCCCCCTCCCCCCTTTTATACTACCCTATGCTTATTTGGGGATTATGGCTTTCGAGGGCAGCTGTTCTGGCTTGCACCCAAGCCAGTGATCTCTCTGAGTAGGATTCCTGCTGGGACCATTTGCCTCTCTGCTTGAATGTTTAGGTTTCCAACAAGCCTGTACTTTTGCAAGTGATTTTGAAGCTGAAAATTTTAGAGTAGTTCTGATTAACTTGGTTGATTTCTGCCCAATATTAATCCCTAACTTTCTTAAAAAATCACTTTGTGGGGTGGTTGATATTATTTACTGAACAACACATGTTGACTGTACAAAATTTAGAAAAGCCCAGAAAGTAAATAATAAACATTATGATAAACATGTAATCCCAGCACTCAAAGATAAGGAGTATGAAAATTTTGGTATACAACCTTATAAGCTTTATTTTACATGATTATATTCTTTTATAAAACATGAGTCAGATTGTATATAGAATTTCCAATGTGCTTTTTTCCACTTATCAAAAAACTAATTGTCATTAACTATTTTTCTAATAGGTGATATATTCACATGCCCTCATCCCATCTTTATCCTCCATTTAACCTAGTTCCAAATACTCTCACTCCATGAATAAACTGTCCTTAATTTCTTTTCATAGAAAAGAAAAAAAAGTTTCTTTTTCCGAAATTTCCCTATGCACACACAAGGAAATACAGCTTTGTCCCCCCTCTTTTCACACAAAAGGTAACATATACCATAATATAGTTTTGTTTCTTGCTTTTTCCACTTGAAGATCTTTTTATATCTGTGCACACAATGTTTTTGTTCTTTTCTACAGCACAAAACTGATGAGTGTGCCATAATTTGTTTTGCCGGTCTCTTGCTGATGAACATTTGAGCTGTTTCCAATCTTTGGCTATTACAAAACTTCAGTGAACAACCTTGTACATACGTCATCTTACACGTGTGCAAATATATCTGTTAGATGCAAGGTTGAAATGGCTGAGAAATATGTGCATTTGTTGTTTTTGACAGGCATGTCCAAATTGTCCTCCATCAAAATGTTATCAGTTTACATTCCTACCATCAACATATAAGACTGTCTGCTTCCCGACACAGCCTCACCGAGTGGTGTGTTTTTTTGCCAATGTGAGAATGCAAATAGAATCTCAGAGTAGTTTTAATTTGCATATCTCTTATTATAAAGGCAAGTGGGCATTTTTCAAATATATATGAGCAATTTACAGCACAATTTTAGTGGCTAGACAATATCTGTAAATTGTATGTTTTAAATAAATAAAATGAGATAAAGAAAAAGCCACAGTACTATTGCTCTTACCAGTATTGTATACTCTGCAACTCTAAGAAATACTTAATGCAACTGGTGTCAGGGAGGCAGTGTGTCTATATTGTGACAAAAGAGAAATTGGCCAATTTAAACCTCCCTTTCCTTCTTCACTGCTGTTTCCCCAGGTTCAGTTCCAGATGTATTCCCAATGTCTCACCTAAATGGCCTAACGAGGCAGAGCTGCAGATTCCTCTTGGGTGATTGGAACATCAACAACCACTGTTCCTGCTGCCCAAGGGATTTTATTCCTGTTTCTGGACTAATAAGTTTCTCACCCATTTTTTTATTCTCTCATTCATCTTACAAGGATTTACTGAATCTATCATGGACCAGGCATTGACTAGAAGTAGCTACACAAAGATGGATAAAATAAAACACTGCTCTCTAGAAAACATAGAGCATAGAGCCATTAATTCTCCTGTGAGGGGTCAGGGGAGGTTGTGCAGACAATGAGGTAGAAAGGGTGTAAAAGATAAAGAAAGACAAGCACTCCGCACAGAGAGGACACTGGCAAAGTCCAAAAGGCTGGGAGAGATGTTTTGGAGGATCTGCATTTTCATGATTGGAATGGAGGAATACCAACGAGTGGTTCAAAGAGTCTTGGAGTCTCTTCTAGAAGGAACTTCATTTCACTGGGCAAACCACTGAAAGCATTTAAGCAAGAGAGTGACATGGAACCCTAGCTGGTTTGGCTCAGTGGGTATAGCGTCAGCCTGCGGACTGAGGGGTCCCAGGTTCAATTCCGGTCAAGGGGGCACATGCCCAGGTTGTGGGCTTGGTCCCCGGTATGGGACATGCAGGAGGCAGCCTATCAATGATTCTCTCTCATCACTGATGTTTCTCTCTCTCTCTCTCCCTCTCCCTTCCTCTCTGAAATTAATAAAAATATATTTTTTAAAAAGAGAGAGACAGAGAGAGAGTGACATGGACAGCTGTAATCGGATCATTTGACTGACACGATAGAAAATAACTGGAGAGGAGGATGGAGGCAGATAATTAAGCCCAGGAGGTTACTGCAATAATCCCAAAGGAAAATAATGAGGTCTTGAATTAAGGAGCAGCAGAAGGGATAAAGAAAAGGAGAGATAATTAAAAAAAGATTTACGAGGTAAAAAAGACAGAAGGTAACCTGTAGAGAGCGCCTGGGAAGGCACATGGGCATTTCTTTAATTATTGTTAGCTGAAGCCAGTGATGTTGGAAAAGCCACGTCCTGGAAACATGCTTTGCCAGAGGCAGGAGTGTTGTCAGCTTGACCTTCAGCCCAGGTGCCAGGGGGTGGGTTTTGTTATTTAAATCCAGCCAAGCACCAGGAATGAATACGATCCAAGAATGAACATAATCTCCTTTGTCTTAACTTTTAGTAAAACTTCCTGGTTTTTGCTGTATAAAATAAACACGTTGTATTGGCTCTGAGTCCCTGTCTCTCCATCAGAGGACAGTGGTCCCACCGGCCCCAGCTTTTTCCTTCCATCTCTGTGTCTGTCTCTTTCTTTCATTTTCTCATACCCCAGCAGCCCCTACTCAAGAACCGGACTGCTCTCTAGCCGTGCTGGATGCAGAGAAAAGAGAAATATTTACAGTAACCAAGTAAATAGATATAGGATCCAGGAAAGGGTCCCTGATGACTCCAAAGTCTCTCTCTAGGGATAATGATTGGTGGTGGTGGTGTTGACCAAGACACAGAACATATGGGGAAGAAAAAAAAGAAAAGGTTGAGGGGAAGGTGAAAATGATGAGTTATGTTTTAAACATGTTGCATTTGAGGTGGTTGTAGGATAGACCCAGCAAACTATAGCAAATGTGGGTCTGGTTTTCAGGGAAGTTCAGGATGTAAAGAAGCCAAAGCCATTGTCATAACAAGGACCTACTGAATACTTAGCACATACGAGGGACCATGCTAAATGCTTTACTTCTTTTTACTCTCAATTCTTGTAACAACTCACAATATAGATTCTGTGATCCCTATTTTAGGGGTCTAGAAACTGAGATCAGAAAAGCTAAATAAATTTTCCAAGATCACAAGGTCTGTAAGAACCAGACTGTCATACTTAATCCATGTGTCTTTTTTATGAATAATAGATGTATAGAAAAAGCCCAAAGCAAGCAGGTCCCAGAGGACTGTGTGAGTGGCCTTTTTATCAGCATGCTCCCACCTCCATGCAGCATTGCTGCTATCCCTGGGTAGAAACCCTTTTAGAGGAGTCACACAGGTTTCAGGTGAGTCCAGCAGTCTTGCTTTCCAGACGAAAAGGAACAAAATAGAGAACTAAAAGATGAAACCATCACCTCTCCTCCTCCTAAGACTTCCACTTCCTTTACCCATTCCCACTCAAGAGCCCATGCAGATATGCCTCTAAGGCCCTTCTCGCACAAAGGTTCTGGGGAAAGGGCCAGGGGTACTCAGAAACACCTAATATAGCACATCTCTCCAATGATTTTATCTGAAGATGCCAGAACCCGCATTAAAAATGACAACAAATATTAAAGCAAGTATAGTTTGGAACAAAAGAAAGCTACGTTTACTTGACAAATGGACCGGAGTCCATGAAGAATGTCTTGCTTCAGGCTGGACCCGTGTCTCCCCAGCCTAAAGCCATTTGTCTGAAACTTTGAGAAGCAGTAAAACTGTCAACTCAGAGAACATCATACTGGACAGTGGAAAATGTGATGCTCTGCTCTAACTATAAGGAAATTATGCAAATTGTCAGGCAAAAAGAAACTCCCTGGAGAAATAATCTGCAAGTAGCAACTAGCTACTGAGACTATGGTTGCAATTTATTCAAAACATGTCCAACATCACTAGAACTTGAGCTGGATAACCACCATTGGCCTTTAGCTTAACTTGGAGGAAAAAGAGTTAAGTGACTCAAAATCAGTGACTAATTAACATTTCCTTCACAAAGAAGATATTGTGGGATGAGTATACAGCTAGGACATACAAAGGCTGAAAAGAGACTTCTTATTCTACTTTACTTTATTTAGACCCTTATCCGTGCACCTGTCATCCACAAAAAAGACAGGTCACAGTAATCATCAAAAATAACATTTACATAACACTTTATTTACACATCACATTTCATCATTATTCATTTAATCCTCAGTCAACAGAAGAGGCCAGTAACATTATTATCCTAACCTATAGTCAGGAAATGTGCTAGTGAATCTTAAGAGTAGAATTTTAGAGAAAGGGCATTCTGCCCTGCCTCCTCATTTCACCAACTAAGTCTGTTAAATAACCCATCCAAGGTCATGCCACTGAATCTGTACCCAAGTCTCCTGGCTCTTCCCACTACAGTGCACTGACTGCCTCTGGAGCACCTGAAAGTACCCAAAACAGAGGAGGGAGCAGAGACCCAGGAGTGTGAGAGACCTGGCCTAGAATTCCAGCTCCACACCACCAATGGCCATATAACTTGCCTGCTTCACCAGTAATAGTAACAACCCTCCAGAGTCACTGTAAGCATGAAATTAGATTAAATGCAAAAATCATCCTATATAATAAAAGCCCAGTGACCATAATGGCGTAAAACCAGAACGTCCACTCGACCAGTCGCTATGAGGTGCACTGACCACCTCTCCGTCCCACCCCCGGCCCACAGGCTCCGATTGCTGGATGGCAAACGGGGGAACCGGGGTGGGTTGCAGCGAGGCGGGACTGGGGACTGGGAGGGGAACCAGGTGGGTGGCAGCGGCGGGGTGGGACTGGGGACTGGTGAGCGGGTGGAAGATGGCCCTGATCACAGGCTAGGTCTAGGGACCCTACCCGCGCACAATTTCGTGCACTGGGCCTCTAGTTTGCTCATAACAAGGAGGTGAAGTTCTTGGGTTCCTGGAAAACATGACAAAGGCACTGTCACAGTTGAAATGAACTTCTGAGCTGTGGACTATGCATCTGAGCTAATCACAACTGGTCTGGGCTGGGAGAGTGCTTTTCCTCTGCATGAGCACTTTACTTCTGAACCAATGCCAGAAACTTTCATTTTGCAGTTCTTGAACTGAAAATTTTTATTCAACATTTTTTGTGACCCACCCAAAGAAATGCCAAAACAATAACAGCAATAGCTAACCCTTACATAACTCCTACTTATGTGCCAGAAACTGTTGTGTACTTTAGATGTATGTAATCCTCATAAAAGCCCTGTAAGACAATTCAAAGGTAACTTAGTCAATAAAATCTGAGGTTTTAAAATATATATTTAGATCAACATCAATATTAGTTCATCACCATATATCTGGCCCCAAGAAATACTTGGAAGTTTGGATTAGATTTAAGTAAGAGGATGAATGGTACCCACTTTAATTCAATTCAAGGCAATCTTTCGATGTTTCTCCCACTCTGCTGCCTGCTAGAAATATCACTTTTCATTTTGTGGATGAAACTATGTAGTATTGATTTAAAAATGCTTTCTTATGAAAAATGTCAAACATATACAAAATTTCAAGAATAACATAATGGATGCCCATGTACCCATTTCCCAGCTTCAACAAATTACCAGCTTCAACAAACCCTCACTTTTTAATGGCTTTTTCTTACCCCTCCCCCATAATCTTTGGTGAAGTCTTTTTAACAGGTCATATGCACAGACATAAACAGTCACAGTGGGAAGCCTGATTCTGAACCGCCTTCCTGCCACCCTCTGCTACAAAACAGTCCAACTGTCTGTTTTTAAAAGTTTTACTCCTTTGCCCAGCTAGTGTGGCTCAGTGGTTGAGCGTCAACCTTGAACCAGGAGGTCACGGTTTGATTCCCAGGCATGGTCAGTGTTAGGTTTGATTGAGCAATTGAATTGATACCCCTTCCCCAGGAACTGGCATTTCAGATCATTGCACTATGGACAGTCCCTTTGCTGAAGACATTTCACTTGCGGTGACCACATTCCATTATTCCATTCCATAAAGAAGTCTCCGCCCAGAAAAAGCCCCTTTAAAAGCTGCTGACTCTGTCACTGGGTGCTGGAGGCATCCAAGCTCAGCCACCTGGTGTGCAGATGATTGAATAAATGAATAAATTCATAATCCCTTACCACTCTGACCACCTGTGTTCCTCCTTCAGGACCTAACAGTCAGACCACATGCCCAGGTTGTGGGTTCCATCCCCAGAGGGGGGCCTCCTGGAAGCAGCCGATCAATGATTCTCTCTCACCTTTGATGTTTCCATCTCTCTCTCCCTCTCCCTTCCTCTCTGAAATCAATAAATATATATATAAATTCTACTCCTTTTAGGAAAGTCTGTTCCCTAGCATAGAACATCACCCTATTCATTTTCTTCTTCCTGGCTGGACTCTGTATGTGGTCCAGAAAGTGTGTGGAGTTTCAAACATCCAAACGACAGTTGATAGAAATAAAAATTTCCCAGAGAAGATTAAAGTTAAAGGAATTTAAGAGGCACTTAAAGTCCAAATCTTTTTCTTGGCAGAAGAAGAAAACTGAAGCCCATGCTCTGAACTGTTCAAGGTCCAAGAAATACAAGCAAGAAAGGAAGGCAAGGATGTGTAGAAAATGAGTTTCTTATGCCTTTCCACTCCTTTCCACCCTCTCTACTCCTTTCCCACCACTTCTAAAAGGCTGGGACATTCTTCCCAGGTCCCCCCAGGGAGCATTAACCTGCCACAGAAGCATTTTCCATCTCTTTTTATCTCACTTAACACCTACTTCTTGAAGGCAAAACAAAGCCCATCTTCAACACCCCCTACACACACACACACACACACACACACACACACACACACACACACACACACGGCCTGGGAAAGTACCTGACTGATACCTGGTAGCCACTCACATATTTACCGGCTCAGAACAAAGCTCCCCAGGGCTGAGTTCTCCCTTGTCCATTTCCCATCAACAGGACTCCAAGGCTAGCGGGCTCCCTATCTTACCCTCTCTCCCTACAATCTCTGGCCGCCCACTTCTTACGAAGTGAAGAATGTAGTATAAAGAACACGGAACGGCCCTAGCTGATTTGGCTCAATGGATGGAGCCTCAGCCTGCGGACTGAAGGGTCCCGGGTTCGATTCTGGTCAGGGGCACATGCCTGGGTTGCGGGCTCGATCCCCAGTAGGGGGCGTGCAGGAGGCAGCCGATCGGTGATTCTCTCATCATTGATGTTCCTATCTCTCTCTTCCTCTCTAAAATCAATAATATATATTATATATAATATATATATATATATATATACATATATATATTATATATATATTATATATAAACTTAAAAAGAACACGGAACGACGGGGATTGGGAAAACTGCGCTAGTGCGCTAGTGTCCTGGCCGCTACATCTGTTCTGTGTGACCTTGGACACATCTCCCTTTGCCAGGGGCTCCTATACCCATGTGTAAAATAAGCAGGTTGAACTAAGCCTCCATGATCTTGCCCCTCCGCGGCCCCTACCCCAGTGCCAAGCTGGCCTCCGCCTCTCCCTCCCACAGTCCCCACAGCCCCGGTTAGGTCCGCTCCGCTCCCCGGGCAACTCACGCGCCTGGGCACGGCATCTTTACCTCCCACTCCCAGGTTGACCTTGCGGGGGTCCGGATCCTCCCGGAAGTCGGCCGTGAGCTTAAAGACCAGGACCGGGGGGGCCTGCGGAACTTCGGCAAACACTGACGGAGGCGCCATGGCGAGAGAGCTGGAGTCCGTGAGGCTGGAGCCGCTCGGTCTGGTTCAGCCGCGCCGGCTGGAGGAGACTCTCACCTTCAACTAGCCGGCGGGGCGGGCCCGCGGCCTCCAATGGTCGAGCCGCGTCTGGAGCTTGGCAACGCGGCTAGCCAATCGCCAGCTTCTGACGCACAAGACGTTATTAGCCAATCCGAGAAGAGAATCTGATGGGAGGCATAATACCACCAATGCAATGGACTACGTCTGAGCTGGGGGCGTGGCGTATATTGATTGGCAGAGCGTGGTCCTATCGCTGAGGCCATTTTCCGGGCGTCCGAGGACGGTGGGGCGGAGCCGAGCAACCAGAGTGTCCCGGAGGCTTCGTCATCGACCTTCGGGGGATCTCCAGGTATCGGAGCGGTGGCAGGCGAGAGTTACGGCGGAGGGGCCTTCCGGTACCGGTACACGCACGTTCCTGACCCGGCCTGACCTGGCCCCGACTGGTAGCCAAGTCCTCGGGTCTGCGCTCGGGACGCCAGTCCTCGGGCCAGGGCGTGCAGCTCCAAAACCCGCGCGGGCGACCTTGACCATCGCCGGCTGTTAGCTCCAGAGGGAAATGGGGGTGGGCCGCGCGCCTTGGTCTCAGGCCGGGGACATCCTACTCAGAGAGAGGGAGAGAGACCGGGAGCTCCTTTCTGCCGCTCTTGCAGTTTAGATGGTTGTTTCCCTTTCCTTGCAGAGAAGCCTGGTCCTAAAGGACCTTCGGGGTCTGGGCGCCGTTCCTGTCCTGCTTTCCTCCCGGCACGGACTCAGCCCGATCTCGTGTCCTCCGCTGGCTGGCCCCCAGGCTGCCTCTTCTCTCAGGCAGGCTGTTCCTTCCCTGAGTATGCCTCCTCCTTCTCCCCACCCAACCTGGTGACCTTCAAGACCCGGAGTAAATGCCTCCTCCGGAAAGTCTTCCCTTAATCCTCACTCTAGTCAAATCCGCCTCTTTCCTTTGCGTCTGATGTACCTTGTGAGCAACATTACCGTTTTAGAAAATGCCCTCGTTAAGAACCCACGTCCCAGCTTAGATTCTGGTTCTGCCACTTGCTAACTTGTGCAGGGTTAGGCAAGTTACTAGACCTCTCTGTTCTTGCTCGGTAAAGGGGAGGTGATAGTATTTTCCTCCGGGGCTTATGTGAGTTCATACTTAGGAAGTGGGTGGGGTTTTTTTGCATCTAGTGAGCACTCCCTACGTCTTAGCTTTTGTGGTCATTGCTCATCTGCCACACCCCGTGTAGGTGGGCGGCTTCCTTTGGCCAGAGAGCTCATCCTGCGTAAGTCTCCCTCCGTTTCTTGCACTTAGTCAGTGTGTTCAGTAAAGGGTGGAAGGAGGCTCCGTTCTCTTGGTGGGTCCGAGGAAAACCGCACCTCAGCCTCTGTTCATTGAGTGATACAACAAATCTCCAAATGAATTTTCCACTCAAAGTAATGAACACAAGCCAAGAGAGCCCGGAGCAACACTTGCCCACCTTGGGTGGCCTCTGCTTCTTTTCGGAAATACTGCCTTTGGTTTTAAAGGTAACCGCCCACAGTGTCTCATGAACAACACCTTCCTCTCAGGTTGCAAGTTTAAAGGTGAAATGACAATGAACTTTCGGGGCTGCCAAAGGCGCTGGCAGAAGGCAACTGCGAGAGGTGTGTTTTATGGCCCAGCCTCCCCAGAGGCCTATTAGAGGCATGATCTTCACAGTGTTGGCCAACAGTATGGTCACTCCCTACGTCATTCCCTAGGGGAAGAACAACCTGGGGTTAGCTAAACACTATCAGCGTAGCTAAGTCCAAATAAATATTTATCGATAACCTAAGCAGCTCCGTAACCAAGTCCGTGCTGATAGGGGAAAGTGCCATAGGCATGCAGTTTTCCTCATGTCTGCACGATCTCGGTTGTGAATTTTCAGAAAGGGCAAGTAGTGACTAGGTGGGTGGGTGCGGGGAGAGGGGTTGGAGACAACATATGCGGGGGATCCAAGTCTCAAACATTTTTCCTTAGGAATATGAGGTTCTTGGACATTAAGTTCAGTGCCCTTCTGCCCTGAGCCCTGCAGGCTGCCCCTCTAAGTAAAATGCCAATCTTGGAATAAACAAAATGCTTTCCAGGCCATTGCTAATTATAACACTTGGACTTAGAATTGATGCAACACTGCCTGGCTGCTGAATGGATAATTCAAGTCAAAGACTTGAGAGGCCAGCACTGCCCAGACAAGTAGGCAGCCAGGTAAAGTGAGTGTCCAGGGAAAGGGCAGTGAAGGTCAAAAGGAAGATGTTTAGCTAACCTGAGGCTGTTCTTCCCACAGGGAATGATACAAGGAGTGACCATACTGTTGGCCAACACTGTGAATATCATACCTCTAAATCAATGATTCTTAAGCATTTAAGCAACCTCCCTACCATCCCCTTCTGCCTCCCCACCCCCTCAGCCCCTAGTTTCTTCAGAATTGTAAGAGAAGATCTGGGAACAGCTTCATCTGGAATGAACCCCTTTACAATATACTCTCTTGGAAGAAGCGTGCAGGGCCCAGAGCATAAGAGGCAGGCGAGGCCAGGGCAGCAGTGAGTACTGCCGGACCTCTAAGCAAACTCCACACCTGCTTACTGTAGTCAATCTTGCCCCTGATGCCCAGAGGTCTAAATTTAGAAACAAGTCAGGGGAAGGAGGAGTTAGTCACATTTTACTTTCAGTTACAAAGTGGTTTGAAATGGTTATATTTGGGTATATGCTGTCACTGAGAGTGGGGTATTATTTAGCAGCTGAGCTGTGTGCTGAACGCATATTTTTTTACAAACCAAAACTGTAACTTCTGGTCCCAGGTGCTTCATGCAGATATAGCCAAGTCCCAGAACCACACCACACACAACTAGTCCCAAAAATGGCACAGAAATGCCATCAAGAAACCCCAATCACAAAGACGAATCTCCTGAGGGTAGACCCCAAGGTCCTGAGGAACATGTGCTTCACCAAGGAGCACAATAAGAAGAGCCTGAAGAAGATGCAGGCCAGCAACGCCAAGACCATGAATGCATGTGCCAAGGCTGTTAAGTCTCCCAAGCCTAAGGAGGTCAAGCCAAGATCCCAAAGGGTGGCATTTGCCTTTGAGATTTATTTACTTTGTTCATTGAATGATGAGCTGCATAGCAGAACAATGCAATCCTTGTTTTGCCTCTTACTAGTTTTGAAACTTTGAGTCAATTACTTAATGTGTCTGAATTTTAATATTCTTAACTGTAAATTGGGGCAAAAACATTTTGCTTAGTGTTGACATACATATGCCTTTAACACAGTTTTAGAAATTATCATTGCCATATGATAATTTAGTCCCTGAATAGCTGTAGGATAATGACTTAGCTAACTCTCTTTGAAGTCTTTTTGCTCTGGCCTCTCTCTTGCAGGCATACAGTCTGAAATTTTTTAAAAATGAAAAAGAAAGCAGGAAACAATTTTTAAAATATTTCGAGTTCTTTAAGAAGTCTTGTAGTGAGCAGTAAAAATCTCAAAGCAATTTAAAGGTAGTAAGACAACATATTTAATAAGTTTAAGCAATGTTAATAATAACTTTGTATTTCTATATTACCTTTTTTGAAGAAAGTGTTTTAGAAACTATTCCTCTATTCTTTCAACATCCCTAGGTGACTGTCATTATGTGCAGTTGAAACAAAAAAAAACTGGATTGACTTAACAGAAAGCAAATGAAGACATTCAAATGACAAAATAACTTCAAAGCTACAGACCTTAATTAAAGTCAGAGGAAAATTTCCTCTCCTTGTCCTGTTTCTCCCTAAATGCATCACTAATACAGCCTCTTACTTCTAGAGTAATATGTTAGCATTTTTCCCCAAATTGTGATGTCCTTTTTATTGAGCCATACGCTTTGATACGAGATGGACGTAGATGAAAAGATATTGAAGGAAATAAATTCAATGTGTTTGCTAAGAACATGTTTATTTTAGACTAAAGCAATATACTATAATAGATTGTCTTAATCTATTCCACATAGCTAGCAGGAAAATAGAAGTACATTGTTAACATTTCAACATCCAACAGTAGAGGGCAGCACTGCCCATCTTTTGCAAAATACAGGGTATGGCAAAAGTGACTTTACAGTTCTTTGGAAAATAATATAATGAATTAATAAATAATAATAGAAGAGTAAATTCTGTGTTTCATAAGCCTACTTTTGCCTCAACATGTATTGAGTGCTCATGAGAAGGAAAATAAAAGCAAAGCGCTGGTCATTGTATCTGTGTTTACTTTTACCTAAGTATTTTTCTCTTTTATTAATTTATTGATTTATTGGTTTTAGAGAGAGAGAGAAAGGGAGGAGAAAGCAACAGGTTTGTTGTTCCACTTATTTATGCATTCATTGGTTGATTCCTGTATGTGATTGAACTCGAAACCTTGGTGTAGCAGGATGACACTCTAACCAACTGAGATATTCGGCCAGGGCCAAAGTATTTTTCTTATTGTTTAGGTGATTACATAGAAAGAATGTCAGAGCCTGTATAGCCTTGAAGTAACTGGTGGAAAATGCAGAAGGTTTTAGGTTCTCTGCTCAGGATATGGGTTCCGTCTGGCAAAGATAAACAGTAGCTTGACCCTGGACAATCAGATAGGGTTATTGTTAGGAACAGACCAAATGCTCCTGCGCTTTCTGGGTAGGAGTCAGTCTACTGAACTAGCAGGATGTGGTTTGAAAATGTGTATAACTCATGTGGTGTGAGCGCTGATAACTGCTTTTAAATTAAAATTCACTGGCTATTGTGTTGTCTGTGTTAGTTTTCCTCTCAACACCTGAGTCAGATCAGACCTATCTTCACGATACCACATGTCTTATTACTTTAAGAATAATGTCAGACATGACGGGTAGGAATGTCTTTCATGGGGTTGCAGTCGGCTGAATGGCTGTGTGTATATATACACAGGTGAAATTGAAACCTTGTATGCTAATCCTCATGCTATTGCTGTATGATTTCTCTATCCACTAAGAGGCAAGAACAAATCTGTTATTTTGTACTAAAAGTTTCATGATGCTCTTGAGCAGGATGACTGAGAAGAGAGAATAATCCTAGTCTAGCACACAGTATCCCTAATACATTTGGA